GTTCAACAACAGCAATAAAAATTGAAATGTTAATAAAGGATCAAAGTACTTAAACATACCCGTGTATAGCGAACACAAAAACGCATGTCGTGGATGGCGTGCCAATTAACAACAAAAATAGTCTGTGTAGAAAATCACTTACCGTTTAACAGCTGGAAATATACCAGAAAAGAAATCGAAAAGCATTAGGGAAATAAAATGACAGACAAAAGTTAGAAGAAAATAATTTAAGAGATAAATTTGCAAAGGCCCACGATCCACAAGCACGTGAAAGCAACCTTCTCCTGCTTGCGTACACATTACATATAAGTATAGCAAACAATTTTCGGCAAGATTTACGGATAAGAGAGCCACCGTCAGCGTCAGCGAACAGGCACAGGCATAGGTTCTAAATATTTGCGTGTCTTTCACTTGTAGGACTTCCAGATATGGTTACAAATTTAAATGTGCACTTAAATTTTCTCCATTTAATCGACAAGGCGCTCTTGACACTTTAATACCCATTCGAATTGAAAAGTTTCTTTTCAACTCATTAACAAATGCATTCTTTTATGCACAGGTAATAAGATAATTGAGTGTTTACGTACAAACTAATTAAAATGGCTTTGTGCCTTTCACTTGCAATGGCCGAGCTATTACTGATTAACGTTTACTATAACTTATGGTAAATTGCTGGTTTATTTCTCTTATAATGACTGTTGGGATCGTGAACTGAGGTATCAATAAGCCTTTGTTATGAATATGGTATTTTTACTAGAGAAAACAATGAAGCAGTCGGCTTACATAAGCAGTCTAAGAAAAGTATAGGAATAAAAATGTATTTGTATAAATATTTGTATCAAATCTCAAGGTTGAAACAAATTTTTCTAAACTTTCGCACCAAATTAGCAATAGGGTAAATAGGGTAAACCTATTGCACTTCAAATGTGGGGGCAATGTCCTACGTAATGGACGAATATGAATACCTATTTAATTGCAGTGCAGGCAGCATTAACTTCGGCGATTGCCAGTTGAATGCAAAAACAAGTAGGTGGAAGTAAAGTTATCACATATGTTAACCCTGGATAACCCTGGATCGGTCCGAAATGTTTCACTCAACTCTATAAGAAATCTTGTCGCATGAACACATCGAGAACTATCAGTAATTTCGGTTCAGTCTCCAGTCTAGTTTCCCCGTAACCTACTTGCCCCTCGTAATCGTTTGCAAGTAAAGCCACTTGTTCTGCGACATTACACAAGCGTCGTAGATTGTGGGGCATTAAATAAACACGAGTCGTTAGCGGTAAATATTTAAAAATACACAAATCAATCGTAAAAACCGTAACTATTATAAAACAATTGTTTAAATAGAAAAATTTAAAAAAACAATGAATTATAAATACTAAGTAAGCGCACAAAAGCCTTTTATTCAAACCCTTCTAAATTTTAAAAGAGCACAACACAATATTGCAATCAAGTCTGACCGAATAACCTTAATACCCGCAAGTGATTAAATTTTCTTATTTTTTCAAAATTTACGGGAGTTAAGTTGAAAAGAAAGCGCGCAGACGCATAATATTGAGGAACTTTCTTATAAAGGCTGCTAGAGATTACTTCATCCTGAATAAAACTGTTCCAGAATCCTTTTCAATCGCTAATATTTAAGCTTAAACATTTGTCCATCATAACATATCCAACAGCACCTTATACACCATAGACAAGCAAGCCATTGTTGATGGCTAAGTTTTACTAATGTCGCTGTTCTCTGTGATCTCAAATGGAGTTTTCATCTTCACATTCGATGGCCATGCAAAGTTGATGGCACAGATATAAGAGAAAAGCTATTTCCTGCTCTGATTAGGCCAGAAGTAAAATTTACGTCATTAGCTTTGCATCCAAGGTAGGAATGTGGTATTGATTTAATTTAATTGAGTGACTTCAGAAATAACGACTTTTCTTCGCCCTGCAAGGGTTACTATGAAGCCGTAGTTATACTATGCCTCCATATGTCTGTCCATCGACTGCAATTGAAGAATCTCTCGAGATCACATCATCAGTATTACTTGTTGAAATTACTACTCCACAATGGGTATCGAGCTACTGAATACTTTTTTAATTTAAACTACTAGCAACTAGTATCATCATTCATTCTCCCTCCTTCCTTCTCCTCCTCTCCATGCCACCACAATTCTTCACTTACTGCATGTGGCTGCTTTTATTAGCAACCAATGATTAAATATATACATATTTCTAGTTGTATGTATGCCGGATTTTCGTAAAAGATTTTTGCCCAACTAGGAAATACTGTCCTCCAAAATTTCAGATCGCCATCGTGCAGATTTATGCTAATTTTTATGCACATAACCTCGCTATTTACATTTGAGCTGAGCAGCAATGTGGCTCTAAAGATCAGATCAAATCGACTCAAACTCTTGATTATCAGATGGTGAGGGGTATATATATCTTATGGTATCTCTGATGCGTATTTCTGGGTTTAACAAGAGTAGTATTAATTATATTAGTTGACAAATTCTACCATCAATTTTTCTCTGCACTTCTTAGCTGTACTTTTGAGAAAGTTTAACAAATTGCTAACTTGAACCCACTAAAACTTGTGTTGACATTAATATGTGCTGTGCATGCTGTGTATACTGGGAGACAGTTCCTAGTGCTTACAAACACAATGATCAAATTAGTTTACCCAGGACGCTGTAAACTTAATAACACCTACACACCCTCTCACAAATTATTTTCTTACATTCATTTCCTATTTCACCTGAATTTTATAAAACATAAAACATCAAAAGTTGAATATGGTAGAAACTGACATAAATAAACATACAAAATATAAAGCCTCTGCAAGGCAGTGGCTTTATATGTGTCCGGTATATTTTGAACGGGTTGAATGTAGACAGAAGAATAAACAACCAAGTAAGTTCGTACGTATGTTCGCCTAGCAACGGTCGTTGGATACCCATCCTTGAAAGCGAGTGTAAAAGAATCGCGTAAATAGTGGTGCGTGAGGCATGATTAAAATCGCCTTCGCGCAAATGGTGTCAATAAAGTTTTCAAAACCAAACTTAGTGTAATTTATCGCATAAACCACTCACACCGGACCATTTTTAAGACTTTAAGAATTCTAACACGCGAACGGACGACAAAGGACTCAATGTAGATAGATCAACTTGTAGTCTTACGGTGACTGAGAATGCATGGGTTACCCGGCACGTATTACTACAAACAAATTGATATAATTAGATTATCCTTACTCCCCTGTGCAAGGTACAAATTGCACACGACTACCAAGCGAAGCACCGAGGATGAGGGAAAATTAAAAATGAGAACTGATTACGTTTGTATTGCGCCGAATTTTGCAGTACCTACCACTAACTTTTAGGCGACATATTACATTTTTACATTGTTTACATCGCCAGACTTATTGTTTATAACTGCAATGGCGTCAAAATTTCGAGCGGGTGATTCAAGAAAAAACTTTTAAAAACTATAACTCTTTTGGTAAACGTGCGCCGGATCGATTTAGCTCATTATCGATTTAATCGGACGAAAGTGCTGAGACCACGTTCGACATCAAGTTTATTATTCCAATGAAGAGTTCGTGGCAACAACTATTACATGAACAAGCAGACAGACAGACGGACGATACCAAGTAGTTACACTAGTGCTTGTAGAGAGTTTTCGTTCCAGTGCGAACACATTTCTCAAATCTCGTGTGGCCGTTGCGATGGGTATACAAAAAAAAGTTTCTTCAGACAAACGTACAATGGCTTCACAAACATTAAACCGACTTTCGCAAGAAGGTGCTTTGCGCTTAAATAAAATATACGCTTGTATTTTGCGAACCTTAATTGAAAAATTGTTTGTATGTCTTAAGCATTCTGGAAATTTTATTTCGTTGGTACGTGTGTGTACAAGTGCTTGTAGATGGTTCGAAGAGAGCAAAACGTTCAAAAGATTTAGCCGCAAACGTTGTGGCAGCTCAACCACTGCTGCACATAAATCACTCGTAAAGCTTTTTTCATTGTCCGTAAATTAATGTTTGCCAAAAAGATAGAAAATTTCCGTTTATTAGAAAATGAAAAATGCGAAAAAAGAAGAAAACCCGAGAGTTGCACACACATCAAATATTTAATGTAATGCAAGAATTAAATTTTAATCGATTGTACTCGATAAACAAGTTAGGATGCGAATCATCTTAAAAACTCGGTTTTTCCACAACTTTTTTTATATCTTTAACAGATCGGGATATTCTTTCAATTGAGCGATATGAGCTTCAAGAAATCAAAATTTAGCATGAGTTACGCACAGCTTCTGATCGCACTCTTATCGCTGTCTTTACCTTCATCCGCGATTTAAAGCAAATTTTCAGTTTTACCTTAAATCCGATTTACACGAAATTAACTGTTGAAATGGACAAACTCCCTTGAAATGTTTGCTCCTTATTTATGAAGCAATCCAACATTAGCTGCATTATTATTATTATTATTATTATTGTTATTACTATTCTTCATCACACATTTAATGAACCATATGCAAAATGATTAACAAAAGTTAATTAAAACTCTCGAGAAGAAGAGGCGAATGTGCTTGGGTTCATGCTAAATTTAGCTGCAACTGCAAGTCAGTTGTGAATTCTGTTTTGAATCTAAATTTTTAATGTCATCAACCTGAAGTCACCTATAGGTACGAGTCACTAGTAGTAGACACTAGTTCAGAAACTCTAACTTTACTCCGCTGCGTATCTTACTGTACACATTGCAACTGCACAACAATGTAATATACTCGAGTACGGGAGTAAAAAAAAAAAAACCTAAAAAAACTAAGCTACCAACATTTTGTTGTCACTTTTTATCACATTTGATAGATTTTTGCCTACTGTTTACACAACTGTCTACAATTTTCTTTTCCATTGCATATTGAATTTTCAACTAAGAAAGGAGGCGTATAGGAGCAAAATGACGAAATCAGCATCGGAGAAAATATCTGAAAAGATTATTCTATCTTTTCCCGAACTTTGCCGACAAGATGAAACTAATTCGCGAAATCTATTGGAACATCATACGTCGTACAACTCATACGAGCCTGATGTCGAGTCAATAGTTTTTAATCCTCCACAATTTTTTTACATGAAGAGGATTTTACTTTTCGTAGTTTCGATTACGATTATGTTCGCTGGTTTTCTAGCTGGTTACGCTGCGTATCGCATGCACGTTGCTACAAACTTTCGCACTTTATGGATCGTGCCCCGTGAATCGGTTGGCGTGCTTCCTCGTAACGAAGACTTTGATTGGTTGCCGAAATGCACAAAAAAGAATGTAAATCTTTCCATATACGATGATTTATTCTTTCACGAAGAAGCCGAAATGGATCTGAGTGATGACGAAGGCTATGCTAAAGTGAATGTGCCGGAGTTTAGAGATGGTCGTCCTGGACGCTTTATACACGACTTTAAAGAGAACCAAACGGCTATTATTGACTCCATTGCCAATCGATGTTACGTAATGCCATTGGATCGAGAAACTGTTTTGCCACCAAAAAGCTTCATCGATTTGATCAATAAAATTGATTCTGGTTATTACAACGTCAGTACTGATCGAATCCAACGCACTATGCGCGTGGTAACACCGCTATCTCTGCAACCGTCAGATATATCAGAACGCATTAACCAAGAGTGCCGTGGCATGATCATAAATAAATTGGAAAATTACACATCACACATTCATAAGCGTGACGTCAAATCCGACTATCCTACCACTTTTGCCGAATACTTGGGCAAAAGAATTGTGGAGTACAATATCATGAATGTGGCCGACGTTAACAAGCACGAAAGCCAATATTCGAAGTTTTAATTATAAAATGCCTTACTTAGGAAATCAGAAACAGGAACAACCCCGACACTTGTATATATATTTTTTACTTACATTTACTTAAAAGTAGTTTATAATTTCACTTGGTATATGTGGCTACACTTTAATGAACCCGTCTCAGGGACCTTGCGAAATTTCAAGTATGTTCAAGTATTTTCGTTAATAAATTTTTACAAGGTATGAGCGAAACGCATTCGCAGGAATGATGAGAAACAAATCAAATTGCAAGCACTATTGTAATACATAAGGCAAATGCTGCAAATTTTGATCATTTTCTCTTCATGCGTAACGAGTAAAGATGTTAGCAGAGTCTACTACTTTTTACTATTGGATTTTTATTAATCTCTCCGAAGAGTGATTACCAGTTGCCAGTTGTAATCCTTTGGTTAAGTGCAGTAGAATACTAAAGCAATTCGAAAATAGTCCACTTCGTCATTATTTACAAGGAATTGTCAACCACTTGAACCGTTCGATTAAGTGTTGGCGTTGAAGCAGCTTAAAATTTCATTTAAAAAGTGATGGAAAAGGCGGAATACACTTTTTTGGAAGTAGTTTGAATGCAAGTTGTGCAGATCCTTCTTCTATATATAAGGGTTTCATGATAACAGTTATGAAAAGACATATATGGCTTATGTTTACCCTTAGGAAATTTAAAAATTTATTTATTTTTAATTGAACGATGATTGATTAGACGAACGGAATCAATGCAATATGATGCAGTTTACCTTGGACATTCTGAACTGAAACTCAGTTACGGTGACGTTATGCTGGTCTTTCTCTTCTTGCCATTCACTGCGAGATGGCGTGGCCAAGTTCATTGAACGTAGATTGCTTAGTACCTTATGCACATAAAACATTTTTTAAAGCATACGTAGAAAAATTGAAAACAAAAAATTTCATTTGTTTAACCCAGTAAAAGAATACGCTACAAAAGGTATGCAGGATGAAAAACACTGGCAGCACTGCAAGTCAGGCGTTTTTCCTTAATCCTTTCAAAGTAAGTAATACGAAAACAAATAAACAATAAAAGAAAAGTAAAGTATGTACACTTCCGCAAAGCAAATAATATTTCCTTTGTGCGTTCTTTTTATCCTTTTCATTCTTTTTTGGCTCACATCCATACGAATGCACTTTTCTACATAAGTGAACTTTTTTTTTTCTTATGTTTATTTGCTCCAGTATTTGGTGTTTATGTACAAACAAATACTTAAGTAGATATGTGTGTAAATATTAAAGTTTATTATTTCGATACGAAATTTTATACCTTTAAGTACGCGGTTTAGTTAATCGAGAAAGTGCACTTAGCATGGAGAGGAACAACTGATAGATAAAAAGGTAGACAACAACAACAAAGACGGATAGCGACAAAAGCTTTTTAATAGATCTATAAAGGATTTTCTGATGCGCTTTAGTTTTGTTACCCGACCTTTGTTCCTGATTCGCAAACAGGACGTAGTGTCAACCCATTGACTGTTATCGACAATGATCAATAGTTCAAATTCAGAAATACCGATATTGATAAAGTGTTTTCGATTCCATATGTCGACAAATACGAACAAAATAATCGTAAAATCAAAAAAGCACTTGGAATAGAACTTTTTAGGAAAAGTCCTCATTATTAACCGATGTACCTAACAAAAAGTAAGAAACGTTTTCCATTGAATTTAAGGGTAGAAGTTTTTTTCTCAACTGCATTAGTAGAGATATAAAATTCGTAATTTACTATTGCATCCTTCCAGAATGACTGCAGCATATAACCAACTTCATAGTTAACAGCCAACCGAATGCTTAATAGCACAAACACGTACGTCTGTATATATTAAAATAAACGCGTACGTGCATATGTCTGCTGGCAGTATCTCACGGGGTCAAGCAGTACCTTGGGAAACATAAACATACCAAAAAGTTCCATATTCAAGAGGTGACAAAAGTCATGCGGTATTGTTTACAAGTGCATACAGGGGTCAACAAGTCCACACGTATGGATGCTACAGACACCTGATTGAACATCACTTTCTAATAAAAGTTATTCAGCAAAAACAAAAAGATCTTCATATTTTCTAGAAAAATGAAATTTCCATTAAATTTACACATTCGGGTATAAAAGACGGACACGAAATCCGATTGCTCTGCTTCTACTCCTTGATCATTTTAACTTTTATCAGTTGGCAAGACAAACTTTCGCAGATGCTTGCTTGCACTTATATTTAAACAGTCCTTCGAACTATGAAAACTGTCCGAGACAAAATCACTGACGATGTCGAAAATGCGTTAATAATAATTAACACATAAATAAATACACGCAACCTTCTGCGACTATGCGAGAATTCGTTCAAAGAAATAAGGGCAAAGGAGCAGAGCGCATATGAAAATGGTTGCTTTGAGCAAGTGTGCGCGATAGCATCTTTTCTTGAATTTTCTTTGTGTTCCATAAAGTTAAGTAAAAGTTACCAATCGTTAACTCCAACTGTCCATAGGTTTATTCATATATAAGATGACGTCATATGCTGATATTACAAAGATTGTGTGGAGAGACACACCACTATTCTTCACATCTGCTCAGTAGATTGCAACAAAATGCAAGCCATTTTCCAATTTAAACACGTTTTCAAAATCTTTTAATTCTTTCCACACAAATTGGCATTTTTATGATGACACACAAATTTTTTTGAAATTTACTCACAAATTAGATTAGACAGTCATAATATAACAATTAAATTATTTTCGGTGCTCTAATTGTCTTACTTTTAACGTCAAGATCTGGTCAAGGCAGATATCGCCGGAAAGGACTCTTCAGTTATGGTAGTGATGATCAGAACTAAATGATGGCTTGTTTCTGTTTTCTAATATCGGCTTTTGCATAGCGTCGCTAGCATACCATCTAATCTGTCCTTTTAAGACAAAAAACATGATCCCTTGATCTGTTAGTCTTAGCAACGGTTTTCAATTCACTTAAATGGCGCTAAATGTCTTCAACCTTTCTTCTTGAATTCTTCTTTATTTATTGCACTTTAAAAAAAGCAACATTGCTAAATTTGGTCTATGTTTGATGGAAACATACCGTAAAATTCGACGAATACCGAAAGATCTCGGAACGACGACAAAGGTAATAAAAGGGGTCTTCATATGAACGAAAAACTTTGATAGTGGCGTCTGTGACTGTCTGCAGGTGTAAGTAATCCATCCCTAGCACCCGTATATTTATATTTAAATAGAGATATGCAAATAAACATTACTTTATATGCCCGTGTACATGCACTTAAACAAACACTTTGCTATTTTTAACCTTGTTGCTTTACTGCAAAGGTTTATGTTAAGTTTGCCTTTATGAATACGTATTCACACAGCCACATATATGTATGTAAATAATGTTTAGATGTTTTTTTATGTGCAGGCACTAATGGTCTTTAAAGCTTCAAAGGACAAGAACTATAAAGCTCTTGCTTTATTTCATGTAATCCATGAAAAGTTCTACAGAAATTTCTTGCTCAGATAATAAATTTTGCACGTAACTGAATTTATAAGAGTTCACACAACCCAACCTGGCTTTCGTTCAACCTGGCTTTCGTGTTTTTCGGATCGCGTAACTAACAAAGACGTTTTCTCTTCCCATCAATTATTCTAATGACCGCAACTCTTTTGAAAGACATTTGAAGAATATGTCAGTTTCTCACGGCAAAGCTGCTAATAAACCAAACTATAAAATCAATCGGATATGAAGCAATAAAGTATAATGCAGAATATATAAAGTGACTTGAATACATGAGTGCTTAAAATTTTTTATGGAAATAATGGCATAAGATGTTGTTTAAATTATCACCCAATGTCACGCATAAGCAAGATCCTAGGTAGCGCACAATTTCGCGGAGACCGTACGCATTCCCTTATGCCCACTTGGTAATCTGAGCAACGTACTGCACTAAGCGGCAGTTACTGACATTATCAGGTAATTGCACATGTTATATGGCAAAGCCTTTTTATGTCTGCAAACATGTGCAACCAGAAAGTTGGTTGCATACTAGTTTTGAGATTTCGCCTGCAACAACAAAAGAGACTCCATAATATCCCGATTACTTCCGGCTTTTCTCGTCAGCTGAAGCCAAGCTGATTTATCGGAATGAATTCCGTTTTTTCTACAGCCGGGCCATCTATTAGCGGAGGTCGCAGATTAGAGATGTGGTAGCTGGAGAGGTTCCCCTGTTCCCTCTCCCCTTATTTGTTCAGACAAATAATGCAAGCCCGAGAATATATTTTCAATAGACGGACATTCACTTCAACCATAGCACAATCGTTCACATTGGCTCTGTATCTTACTGCAAGCATAACATGTATTCTTACTTAAATGTTTTCCTAGGGCAACCTTATATACTGCACCAGTTAAACTTTGATTTATTTAACTTTAAAAATAAATTAAGACAAACGTCACAGCTAAACGTTATAGAAAGCAAACGTAAAGTAAAGCAATCCACTTTCCTTTAGGCACTACGCAAACGTCTACATTTATGCGGTACGGTTGGGTACGGTTAGCGCAGATTTCGCTTATACCTATTAATACAAAACGGAACTTACTTGTTCTAGCAAAAAAAAAAAAGAAGAAAATTCTTACCCTTCTGTCATCACTTAAGCTCAATATTTTTATTTCGCTTATTTATGGCTTCGTGTTCATTGCTGACGATAATGGAGACGATAACTGCAATGACAATGACAGTGGCAATGATAGGATGTCAGTGGGGAGTTTGCAAATACATGCACGTACTTTTCTTTTTTTAATTTTTGCTGCTCTGCTCTGTGCTTTTGTTTGCAGCTTTTATGTCAATTAAATTAAGTAAACTGTGCGCAAAAGTAACGTAGTTTTTCATACATATACACAATGCATAATTTCTCAGTGCACAACCATAACGTGTATAAAGTTTTATAAGCATTCATTCAATTATGATCAACAAAAGAAAACCCCTACCGTCAGCACTAAATAAAATGAAGAAAATTCTTCATTTTCGTTAACAATGCTTTCATTAAATAA